CTTTCCCTTCAAGGTGTCTTTCACCACTTTCTCTGTTTCTCATCTTCTCCCTCGCCTCTGAAGCCCATGTCTACCATAAAAGGGCTATCAGTTTTTGTTTTGTTTTGCCTTAGGGTGCAGGTGCTCACTACAGAGAGAGAAAAACAGAGACAGTGAGAAGGAAAGTGAGAAATCACCCCCGCAGGGGGGTGGCCATGCCGCAATCCCTTCTCCTCCATTCTTCTCCCAGGATTTTGGGCATGCACACACTTGTATCCACCTGCCAGTTTAGCGGTGATCCAATCCATAGCTGAGTATGTAGATCTGACTTCTAAGCGATTCTGTAAAGTCAATTTTGACATTTGATTTCCACATGGGGATTGTTAATTTTCTGGATTATCTGTGGTAGTTTTAAAATTCTGTATCAGATTCCTTTGGCTACTTATGGCATTCCCAGGCTTTTTCTTCTTCTTCTTTTTTTTTTTTTCCAATTTCTTCCATGAGTGAGAGAGACAGAGAGACAGCACCCCGAACAGGGGTGCAGTCCACCCCAGCTTTCAGCCAGCCCTAGGTCCAGGGCAGGTATGTACCTGGCATACTTAGAGAAGTCTCCAAACTTGAACGTGGAGCCTTCCTGTGTGGGATTGCCTTGCAGAGCCTCACACCTTCACCTTTGCACCACCATCGGGACCCCTTAGTTATTTTATCTACTGCTCAGCTGGGGGTGCCCAAAGGACAAATGAACTTGCAGTATTCAGTAAATACTAACTCACTGAAACAAACAAACAAACAAAAATACATAGCCCCCAATTCCACATAGAAATGATATTCTGTTTTATGTCATCAACGTCATATCGCTTCAATTAGAGTGGAGAGGGAAGAGACCTCATTTGCATCGTTAAGTATCATTGCTAGGTTCATCAGCTAAGTCAAACTTCCCTTTTCAGCTTGGAAAAAGTATCCCTCTCACATTTTGCAAACCTTTCACTTCTCTAGAAGTCTTTTATGAATAAGAGTTTCAAAAGGGAGCAATATGAGTTTTGAGGCGTGCATGTACCATCAGGTAAAGGGAAAGCCAGTATAACATGTATAGCTCTAACGTTAACATCAGGAATTCTTTATGCCCTGAATCAGAGTAACATGAAAGCCAACTCACATAGCATGCGCATTAGCTATGGAGGATACCTGTACATGTCTTAATTACTGTTTAATATTTAATACAACCCTAAATAATTGTCATGAGTAGGTGCCTAAGACCATGAATGTTTCATTTAAACAGCACCATGGATCAGAGATAATTATAGGAGAGATCTAATCTACATATCAGTAGATTACAATAATAGCTGAATTTTGCCTGTGGTGGTTGGAAATCAACACTCTTTTAGCCTTTAATTTTTTTTAAGTGGTTCTGTTCATTTTACTAAATTTTAAGCATAAAATGCCTTTTATTACTCTTCTCTCTGGGGATGTAAGTTACTTAAAATGCGATGAGGAAAAATGCCAGACAATTCTTTAAGCTATGGGAAGAGGGCTGCTTCCTTTGTGGGGAGAGAAGCACTCTTTCATGGTCATCTGTCGGAGAGCCCAGATAAAACTCACTGGGGAAACAGGAGCAGGCCAAATGGCACTGTGCTGAGAAATTATGAAAGCTGAGGGCCTGTTAAAGCAGGGGAGAAAACAGAGTCAGGAGCCTCGTTATCCCTGAAGAAGGGCTGGACTTGCTACGATGGCTCTCCCCAAACCAAATTTTGGTTCAGTCCAAATCCAGCTGGTTAAGTAGTTCTTGCTAATTGGCCCTTACCTGGTACTTTATAATAATACCTCATCTTGTTCCAAGTCTGGGTCAGAGGAATCCTCAGTGTTCACAGAACTGCTCAGGGACTCAGCTGGGGTAGCAGACTGCTGTACAGTGCTGGAAGCCACATGGCTGACCATAGTTTCAGATCACAAGTTGACCTGAAAGTTGCCAGGTGCATATGCATGCCCAAGATCCTGGCTGGATAGAAGGCTGGGGGAAGGAGATTGGGGTGTAATGAGACCTGCTAAGAGTGCCTCTCTCTTCTCTCTCCCTCTTCCTTGCTCTCATGAAAGAAATAAAATAAAATAAATAAAGACCTGCTCAGGGGTCTGCATGTTTACAGAAGGGACTAGACTTGGGAGTTGGCCCCATCTCTGCATGCACTAATTGTTACAGATATGAGGGTGAATTACAAACGCTTCTGAAAAACTGACTTGAACAACACCTGCAAGAATTTTGCTCTCCAGAGTTTACATAAGCAAGCTCTGGCTGGCTGGAGATATGTTTTATCCATTGGGGATAGTTAAGGCTGGGGACATCTTGCTTTTAGTCAGGTCAAGGGCTCATGCAGTAGAAAGGACAATGACTTGCTCTTAACAAACCTAGATTTTACCACCTACCTGTGAAATGGCTTCAGCTGGCTCACTATAAATGACTGTGTACTGAAAGAATTGTGACTCGCGTTTATGTGTATGATTGTTGTTTCTCTTTCAAACAGCTCACGGATGAAGAGGGTATAGTTGACAATATCTCCATTTGTCCTCACTGGAGGGTCCCAATTCACTGTGATCTCTTGAGGGCTCTTGGCCTGCAGTTTAGGAGGTTCCATTCCTGAGGGTGCTGAGGGGCTGGTTCGATCTTTGACGAGTGCACTCAGAACACCACCTTGGCTATTGTTGGCAGTCACTGTGTAGCCATACTCCACACCCGGGGTAAGGGTAAAATCATGATAGCGTGTTTCCAGGCCAGTATAGACAATGGTCCCATCCCTCTTCAGTTCATAACTTCTGATCTGGCCATTTGGGTTTCTTGGAGGTTTCCAAGAGATTTCTATTGATTCTGAACCTGTGACTTGCAATTTGGGAGGATCCATGTTCTCTGGCGGGGCCTCCATTGTCCAGGCCGATTTTGGCACACTAGCTGTGCAACCTCCCTGCGTGCAGGCCACAAGGGAGAAATGATAGTGAGTGTAAGGCAGCAGGTTGGAAACTAGGAGGGACAGGCCTCGTCCAGCATGATACTCCTTACCATCATATCTAAGCAAATATTTGGTGATCTCTCCATTTTGCATTGATGGTGGTGACCAAGACACATTTATTTGCGTGGCACTAACGGTCTGGAGAACTGGAGGGCTAACTCCTGTTGGAGCAGCCTCCAGGGTTGTGACGTTGGAGGGTGTGCTGGTGGAACAGCCTCCACTCGTGCAGGCGAGGATTGCATAGCTGTAGGTGGAACAAGGAAGCAGTTCTTCATCGGTATAATTGAAAGTGGCAGCATCAAAGCTGAAAGGATAGAGCATTCCATTCCTTTGTAGCCTATAGGACTGGATAATCCCATTAGTCTGTTCTGGAGGGATCCAGGAAATCAGTAGTTTTGGGGGATTCATAGACACATAGGATATCTCAGGTGGAGAGAGACCTGCTGGAGGTGCTTGCAACGTCCTTACTACATTCCAAGAGCTAGAGGTATGCCCTGCTGAATTCCAAGTTTGAATTTTATATTCACATTGTGTCCATGGCTGTAAACCTGTGTCATTAAACATGAATGTATTCCTTTCTGTATTATATTCTCTGAAAACAATGGTCTCATTGGCCTGGATGGTCTGATTCCCCCAAGCATTTCCCTCAAAGCATCTGCGAATCACTTCATAACGAATTATTTTTCCATTTGGGTTAACAGGTTCGGACCAGCTCAGCTCAACACTGTTGGACTCCACAGAGTGGACTGTAGGAGCCAACTGAGCATCTGGCGAGGCCTCATCTGTCCACAGAGGCTGGGGGGCTGAGTGTGCACAGCCCGCCCTGGTGCAGACCTCCAGGGTCAGTGTGTAGAGAGTGAACGGATTCAGGCGTCGGAAGAGGAACTGACGATTCAAACCAGTGTACTCCAGGAGACCGTCACTGTAGATGTTGTATGTCTGTAAGAGAAGGAAAGGTGATCATTCCTAGCATGTGACTTCCTGGTGTAGCTATTTAGCTTCTTTTTAGCTCCCTTATTCCTCATGCTGTTGATCCTACACTGTAGACGTTGTATGTCTGTAAGAGGAGAAGGAAAGGCGATCATTCCTAGCATGTGACTTCCTGGTGTAGCTATTTAGCTTCTTTTTAGCTCCCTTATTACTCATGCTGTTGATCCTACTCTGAAAGAAGCATCTGATATTAACTTAGGGAATGTGAGCTTTTCCAGTGAAGATAAGGTCCACGGAAATAGAAACAATGTTTTTCTCTGAAAAGATTTTTTTAAGTTAGGGTAATATGTGAGCATTTTTTCTAAAATGCTATGGGCTTTTGAACCTGATTCTTTGATGTAAATAGTGATTATGGGTTTTTTCCTGTGTTTATTTTTTTTAAGTAGGGTATACTATTCAACTCCCTTATTTATTTATTTATTTTTTCGCAGAGATTTTTTTTTTTTTTTTTTTTTTTTTTTTGTCTTTGGGGGCAATTGGCTCTCCACAAAAAACGG